GGGGGGGGGTTATACGTTTTCATTTTATTGAAAAATAAGTCCCTTATAAGTTAATTCATTCTTTAAGAGGATAATTTTGCAGTGGTTGTTGTAGCTGGAAATGGTTTAATTTGAGTAAAACTTGGTCAATTATTATAGCTTCCCCTTAATCTATGAAATCGTCTTCCCTCTCAGTGTTTGGGGTAAACTTACTTTGGAGGCATGACATTAATTGTTATTATTTAAAAAATTTATTTTGAAAACATCCTATTTTTTTACAGGCGGATACAGATATATCAATACCCAAGGATGTCCCTCCAGGTTAATTTTCTAAATTATTTCATACATATTCTTCCTCCTCCCCACCCCCCCTCCAATCAATTTCGAACTTGAGGATTGTCATTTTTTGCACATTTATTGTAGATAGAAACTGTACTTGACGTACTCCCTAAAATAAAAATTTCCTTAAACTTTCCATATGGTTTGCTTTCCTTTTGTTATGTTAAAATATTAGTTAACGTTTTTTTATGAAGACTTGAAAATTTACTTTTGTTTTCAAGATTGAGGTTTTATGAGATTGATATAATTTATTAATTTAAAATTGATACAATTTTTGTACATCAAAAATATCGAACTTGATCGAAATTATTTACACGTGATGAAAAGGATTTATGTTTTTTCTTTGATTTGTTTTTAATTGTTTTTATTTTTTTCTAAAACAATAAGATGAAAAGTCATTCCCCTTTTTTTCGGTTTTCCAGTACTATAGATTTTTATTTTATGTCCTTTTTGTTGCTTTGTTTTTTTTCCTCTCTTTTATTCATATAGATGTATAGATGAAAAGTCATTCAGTTCATGTTCACATTTCAATTTAAAGATGAAAAGTCTGCAACTACGCTTGTAAATTATTTTGATCAAATCTTAATTAATGGAGAGCTCTGCGAAAAGCAGCTCGGTACGGCAATAGGTAGAACGAGACGTTTTTCTCTATGATTCTATAAATGAAGAATACTATTGTCGATTTGTTTTGTATTGAATAAAGTTGTTAAGAAGAAGATTTATGTACATGAAATGGAAAGGATTTATATACAAGAAATGACGAGGATTTATGTACAAGAAATGAATAGGATTTATGTACAAGGAATGAAAAGGATTTATGTACAATAAATGAAAAGGATTTATGTACAGGCCGAAGAGAGGTGACCGTGTACAAGTCTAATGAAAATGGTGGACTTGGAATATCAATTAAGGAATTGTAAAACTGTCAAAATCAAGATTATTTTAAATATAATTTAATTCAATTAGGAATATTTCCAAACTGAGAGGGTTCTCTGTGACCTGCATTATTATTATTTATTTTTCAAAGAAGGTTTTTATTTCCTGCCGACTCCTAATCGATCTTTTCCACTTAACTTTAAAAGGGTTTATAATATACTTGGGGGATAGAGACCCCCCCTCCCCCCTCCCTCCCAATTGACAGGATTTACAATGCCTCAGGGTGGCATAGAGAACAAGATGCCGATCTTGATTTCTAAAATATTCCCTGGGATGGCTGCGGACCTGACCGGCGCGCTACATGTCGGAGACGCAATCTTCAGTGTGGATGGAGTAGATCTTAGGTGGGGATAAATATATCGATTTATATAACCTTCTACGGGGTTACCCACAAAGGATGAGACTTCAGAAACGACCGTACGGAATTTTTACTGTTTTTTTTTCATATATTATTTATTATCGGCCTGGAAGTATAAACTTTTTTCTTTCGTTGCCAAATTTTAAACAAGCTGTTTAAAGACTATATTTCAAGGAGAAACCTTAATTTGAACTTCTAAATGTCATGTTTTATGAGTTTCTAGTCGTCTTTACAGTCTCATAGTATGTGGGTAACTCTGTATCTATCATCTATCTATTGCTCAATAATTAATATCTAAATATCTATATCTGCCTATTCATTCCAATCGATGTATCTATCTATATCTTAAATATTTATAGATCTATATAACTATATCTATCTATTTATCTATTTATGACGAATTCAACATTTTTTATGATTTTATTGTATCATATGTTCAACTAGTTCCATCGATCTATATCTATCTATCTATACATCTTCCTTTCCATATTTTATCTAACAAGGGATGCTACTCATGATGATGCTGTGAGAGTACTCAAGAATACGGGACCACAGGTGAAGTACAGTACAGTACAGTACAATAAAAATAAGTATCACCTAGTTACAACTTTCATCAATATGTAGAGCAACTGTAATGTTTTAAAAAACTATTCTGAATAAATGTCGTCTTTCTGTTCCTGTTAAATGTATGATAGTTTATTTATTTTCAGGTTAACTTGGAAGTCAGATACTTAAAGGAAGTTACTCCATACTTTCTCAAGGTCAGTAACTCAACTGAAAAAATTTTTGTGATTCTAATCATAAGCGTAGTCAGGTGGGGCTATGGGGGCCCCTTGGACCAGTGAAAACTGGATTTCAGGGGATTTTCAGGCCCCACATGTGCTGATTCCCCCTGTAAAGAATTTTATGAGAATTTCTTCCTCCATTTTCTTTTCAAGAATTTCTAATTTTAATTATGGGTTATCTTTAACAGTCTGTTTGCGGATTTTATGTAGCAGAGACAAAGAACGTAATCTTACAGAATTGAACCTTATTCCTACAAAATCTTCCCAATTTTTACTCACATTAACATTTCAAGTGTTCCTCAGTGTATCGGGCATGCCACTCTATTCTACAATTGTCCTTTTTAGTTGTAAATTATTTTATAAGAAATGTTTTAAATCATGGTTATAATAATTAAGGCGACCTTACTGGGAAGTATTGGTTGGGACGGGTTGGATTCCTTCCTGGTTCCTGAATCCAGTAGATTTCCCCCTGCCAGCTCAAGAGCAGATAGCAGGAATATACCGCTACACTTCTCCATTGTTTCAAGGTATTCTACTTCTGAAAACAAACAAAGTACCAGTTGCACACTTGTAAACCAACCAATTTTCCATTTCTACTTTTGAGAACTTATTCAACTTTAAAACAAACATAAAGAGCACGAAATTTATATTGGAACTTAAAAAATTTAACAACCATAATTTTTTTTTAACAAATAATGCAATGAATTACTATTTAACCCGATAAATCATTTAGTCTATTTTTAAAAACCAACAAAGATGATTTTTCTAATTTTGTAAACTGATTAAATATGGCCCCTACACAGCAACTTTTCAGGCAATGTGTTTCTGGGGATGAGGCTGCCAGATGTTTTGAAGTTCTGTGCCCGGATCAGAAATCATCTTGTGTGTTTAGGTAGGAAAGAGATTTTTAAAAAATAAAGGTCAAATTGAGAATTTTCTAATTTTTTTTTTTCAGAGCGGAAACAGCTGGGATAGCTGCTGATTGGGCCGCTAATATTGCAGCTGTTGTCCGAGAGACCTTTTCTGAAGCGGGGCTATTAGCCGGCAGAAGCCTGGGCTGTGGAGTAGGTAGGTCGTCTTTCGGCATTATTTGACCTTTTTTTCTTCTTTTCAAACCTCTCTTCTCTTAATAAGTTCTCTTTCCTCTGTCGAAATTCATTGTCTTTATGTCACCTCTTTCTTCTTTTCTTTTACTCTGAAGTTTAATCTTGTATTTTTATATTTTTTATATTTTGAAAGATAATTTTTTGCTCTAATCAAAAGAATATCCTCCATGTAGTAAATTTTTATTCATGCTATTGACAAGAAACATTTACACTAGTAAATACACATTTTACATTTTTAAATGTGTATTGTACATGTACACTCAGTTGTACTGTTATTCTTATCTTCCTCCAGAGCCCGTTCTCTCTAAAGATAGTGGTCGTGTAGTTCACGTACTATGGGGGACGATATGTTGGCCGCTAGATGTCTCATGCTAATTTCTCATCTGATAGATAGATAATTTCTCCTTTCTTTCTATGGAAGGAACGGCCTCAGGTATAATAGGTTGGGCCCGGCTTGAAGTTCAACATCCTGTAACATCAGAAAAAATATCGTTTTAGGCGCATTCCTTTCACGTCCAGACAATCACCAAGATTTTAACAAATATCTCGGCTAAATAGTCAGAAAAGCCAAACTAGTCTCTGATCTAGTCAATCCTGGTCTCTACGGGTTGTACTCTTATACTTATCTCCTTCTAGGTAGAATAGGTTGGGCCCGGATTCAAGTTCAACATCCTGTAACATCAGAAAAAATCTCGTTTTAGGCGCATTCCTTTCACGTTCAGACAATGAACAAGATTTTAACAAATATCTCGGCTAAATAGTCAGAAAAGCCTAACTATAGTCTCTGATCTAGTCAATCCTGGTCTCTACGGGTTGTGCTCTTATACTTATCTCCTTCTAGGTAGAATAGGTTGGGCCCGGATTCAAGTTCAGGATCCTGTAACATCAGCCTCTAGTGAATCCTCATTTGACAGTGGTACAAGCAGTGGGGGAGGGTGGACACAGGTTGGTAGGGTTAATCATGCCAAGGGGGNTGGGCAGGGTTCAACATTAAAAGGGGCGATGTGAATTTGTTGGGTACTCCAAAAAATAATTAAAGGGATTGTATTGTCTAGGTATTCCTGGGGTTAATTAAAGGGATTATATTGTTTAGGTACTTCTGCGGTTAATTAAAGGGTTTATATTGTCTAGGTACTCCTGGGCTTAATTAAAGGGATTATATTGTCTAGGTACTCCTGGGCTTAATTAAAGGGATTGTATTGTCTAGGTACTCCTGGGCTTAAATAAAGGGATTATATTGTCTAGGTACTCCTGGGGTTAATTAAAGGTGTTGTGTTGTCTAGAAACTCCTGGGGTTAATTAAAGGGATTATATTGTCTAGGTACTCCTGGGATTAATTAAAGGTGTTGTGTTGTCTAGGTACTCCTAGGGTTAATTAAAGGGATTATATTGTCTAGGTACTCCTGGGGTTAACTGAATCCCATTTACTCTGGTGGGATACTGTTCCTAGTACTCCTCAGCAGTGGAGTACACCACTTAGATGTCTTAGGTTTTGTTTTTTCATTTGCTTGTTTCTTGATATATAATTTATTTATCCTTCCATTTTCGAATCCATTTGTTCATTAAGGAATATATATAATTAGGTAAACAATTGATCATATTTTATTTACATATATTAGATTGATTGATTGATTGGACTGATTGATATGATTCATTGATTTAATAGATTGATTGTATTAGATTTTTGGATAAATTGATTTTTTAAATAATTGATTGATTGATTGATTGATTGATTGATTGATTGATTGATTGATTATTAAGACTGATACAGACTCGTCTCGTGAACAACCGAACAGCTGTGTTCCAACCTGAACAGTATTCAATATGCATCAGGTTAACATAGTTAGTCATTTAACAGCTTTTTTTCAAATATTTTATTTTGTCTAACAACTTTCTCCCTAATCTTGATCAAATGTTGACGAAACTATTTGAAATTCGGTAATGATGATGGACCAAACCTCTATAGAGTAAATAAAGTAGATTTTAGTTCCAAATATTATTGAAACCTGGAAAAACGGCAATATCTTACACATTTTTGATGAGATAGGTTTCAAGGATACCCTTGTGGGTCACTTATCATTACGATTATAGTCCCTCAGAAAAAAAATTAAAAATGTTAATCCGTGGTGTATATCTTTAAGTACTACCCTCCCCCCCCACCCCTCCCGGGGAAAATATTTTTTTTTTAAATAAACATGAAAAGGCAAGTTTTTTTCTTCTCCTTTTTCATATCAAATATTGGTTCATTTTCCTTTTAAAACCAGTTATTTTCCCAAATTCAGCGAATAAAACCCTTGTTTCTGAGAAGACGGGGTGGGGACGATTTTTTTCTAGGAAAATATACACCCCTGATGTTAATTTAGTTTAAATATTTGTTTTCTAATTTATAGATGTGTTTAGACATGGAGGAGAGGAGGGAGTGAGTTGTCATGTTATCTCTCTAGATAATAAGAGCGACCAGGTTTGTTATCTCTTATTAACACAGCATTATTTAGCTCAGGGGTAAATGTTTTCTGTAAAAAATAGCCCCCCTTTTAAAACTTTTTTTTGGTAAAAAGTATCCAAAAGAGGCGGGACTGCAAGTTTATGTCCAATTTTCTATTTTTCCCCTGAGCCCGCGATTTAAAAACTTCGGCTCGAGCCTTAATTCCTTAAACCTGACTTTAAGACCCAATCTAAGACCCAACTCTGACGACAGCTGGTGTCACGTGATTGACAGCTGCAAGATCTTCGGCTCGACTTAAGGAGTTAGGCCCAATGAAATTAAAACCGACCTTGGTTGGTTTTAGTGGAGAATAAGGCTCAATGTTGCTTTTTGTTCTCATAAAAACCTGGAATGCGCCAATTCCTGTAATGAAAATCCGCCAAATAGAATATTAAATCGGTTTTTTAAACTCAAATCTGTTGAAAATAAGATGCAACTTTAATCCGAAATCTCAAGCCATAAATAAGACCCAACGACAGCTTAGACCCGAGCCATATTTTCCAGAATTTTTTAAATCGCGGGCTCAGATCTACAAAGTTGTGTTTTAAATTATATACCCCTGTTGTAAAATTATGTATCCCTGCTGTCACAATATTTACTAGATTGCTTTCTAGTTCTACTTCATGTTTAATATCTTTTTAATGTTTAGTGGTGTTCTTTTTTTAAATTTACACAAATAAGATTTTTACGTAAATCATGGATGTAAAATTCAAAAAACATTCAACAAATATACATTGATTGAAATCATATATAAATTTTCCTTACAATTCAATTTTAAGAATAACTTATTATAAACTGTCCTCTCTTCAACATATCCCGTAAATCAATAAATCATGTACTTATAACTTCTTACATCCTAGACAACCAAGGAAATACATAGACAGGATTTCGTTGTTCAGTGGATTTTGAAAACAAATAAAGAGGAAGTTGAGAACTTTTATCAAAGATTTTTAATCAAAATTATGTTTGTTTTATATCGAAAAGAAATTCTTAACTGTAACGAGTTGAATACCAGATTAAATAGATATATATTTTATTTAAGTACGAGAATACAGTTAAGGAAAATAACAATTACAAAAAGTGTTCAGGCCAAAGAGCTACCTCTTTCTTTGTCTAGTATGAAATTTATTTGTCTAAATTCAAATATTGCTACTTTTTGTTAGGCTGCGTGGGCTACAAGAATTGTAGCATCTACCTTAGCTGCAGCTAGGCGGGTCAAGAAGTGGGTCACTCAGGTCACCTACAAGGTAGGAAAACCAGTTATTAATCTGGCGGATTGTTTTAATTAATTGGTTGGTTGATTGCTTGATTGTTTTGTTTTTTTTGCTTGATTGATTTTTTAGTTGATCGATGGATTGATGGATTGATGGATTGATGATTGATGGACTGATTGATTGAAAGCTGGATTCTCTAATTGATATATTGAATGTTATTGTTTTATTGTAGGATTGATGAATTGATTAATTGATTGATTGATTGATTAATTGATCCATGGACTGATTGATGGGGGGATAGATATATTGATAGATAAATAATTCATTGAACGAACGACGGATTGATTGATGGGGTGATATATTGATTGATCGATCAATCATTTGCAGAATGACGGATTGATTAATTGATGGAATAATGGATGAAAATATAAATGGATTCATTAATTTATGGATTGAATTATTTAAAGAATGGATGAATGAATGATTGCTTGATTGATGATTGATTGATCTGTTGAATAATGTATTGAGTTAACTCTTGTATTCAGGGAAGATCTTGTGAACTATGCGTGGATGCTGATGAGGGTTTTCTACTCCGTGATCTCAAACTTGAGCAGTTTATATTCTCCAGACCCTTCCCTGACCTGGTCACTTCTAGTGATGACGGAGCTAGGTATATTCTCCAGACCTTGTCACTTCTAGTGATGATGGAGCTAGGTATATTCTCCAGACCTTGCCACTTCTAGTGATGATGGAGCTAGGTATATTCTCCAGACCTTGTCACTTCAAGTGATGACGGAGCTAGGTATATTCTCCAGACCTTGTCACTTCTAGTGATGACGGAGCTAGATGTATTCTCCAGACCTTGTCACTTCTAGTGATGATGGAGCTAGGTATATTCTCCAGACCTTGTCACTTCTAGTGATGACGAAGGTAGGTATTGAAAACTATAAAAATCCAGAAATCGGTTTGTGAGAGCAGTAACGTCTTTACCCTGGTACGTTTCTGTTTCTGCGATGGCCAACCTCTAAGTTACTGAAAGATGGGTTGTCCAAACTAAAATAATAATAATAATTTTTGAAGCTCACAAAATATTTACATTTTAAGTTTTAAAGAGTTAAGGGGTTAAGGCTTTTTAAAAAAAAAATCTCTTGAATATTAATCTGAATATTTTTATTCAGACTGCTTTGGCTTCAGTTCCGAGAGACTGGTGAGGAGGAGTTTGATCTAGGTAAATTAAAGGGATAGTTCACCTTGATCTAGGTAAATTAAAGGGATTGTTCGAAACTTGATCTAGGTAAATTAAAGGGATTGTTCAACTTGATCTAGGTAAATTAAAGGGATTGTTCAACTTGATCTAGGTAAATTAAAGGGATTGTTCACCTTGATCTAGGTAAATTAAAGGGATTGTTCATTATGATCTAGGTAAATTAAAGGGATTGTTCAACTTGATCAAGGTGATTTAAAGTGTTAGTTCCAGGGGAGTATACTAAATTTGAAAATTAATTTACTTTGATTAAAACTATCAAACAGATATATGTATAGATATTGATATTTTAACAATAAAGTTTATGATTTTTTTCATAGGAAAAAACCCAAAACCTCTGGTTTTTGTCATTCACACTTTTCTGTCTGCTAAGATACAACAGCTGACGGATAATACAAGGTAATTTTGTTTTAATTTATAATATATGTAGAGCTATAGCTCTAGTTTCTATCTGATCGAATTTTATAGTTTTCTCTTTTAGAGACAAGAGATGTATCTGAGACAAAGAGACAATCTAAGCTTCTCCCAGTTGCGCATGTGAATTTCAGTAAAATGCTTTTTTTTCGCCTCAAGGATGGTCATTGATCAAGTGAAAAATAAGTAAAAAATAAATAGAATGACATGTCCGGCTTTTAACCTTTTTCTGTTTATGAAAGATGGCGATATCTGTATTTTTCGAGCTGCAAATTGAGCCCAGGGAAATTCAAGCGATAGTGTAATCTCTTACACTGTACACTCGAACACTCTGTCTAAATTACGTAGTGATAGTTCTCAAATGTTCTCATTTTTCAGACTTAAAAGGTTAAAAAATTCTGAAATGTTTTAGTAGGGGTCGGGTGTTTATTCCTTTAAAATTCTTGCCCCCGCCCTTTCCTTCCAAAAAGCAAATGCGAACTTTGAAAATGATGAAAGTTTTCAGAAAATATGCACTGTAGCCATTGTCCCATAATTTTATCTCTGTGTTTTTCAGAGGATAGCTAGCTGCGCCGTTGAGAATCTGGGATCCAATGAGAAGCTTCCTTGTGTAATCAACCAATCAGGAACCAGAGAGTTGGATTTTAACCAATCAGAAATCATAGAATATAATTTCAACCAATCAGAAATCGGAGAAAAGGATTTCAACCAATCAGAGATCAGAACAGGAATCAACCAATCAGAAGTCAGACTAGGATTTTACTAGAGAATAGTAATTTATCCAATCAGAGATAAGAACAGCTTTGACAACATCCAATCGGACCCTGCCTTACACATTTTCTACCACCTCCAATTTCAATCAATCAATATGTTCTTTTTAAAGAATTAAAACAATTCGATGTACAATCACTTTTAGCAACTAGGCATATAAACTCTCGTTTAAATTCCAGGAGTATATATTTTGAAGAATTTTGAAAATATTGATTTTCAAATAAGCGGGGGGGGGGGGGAAAAACCGGCAAGGTTCTTTTTCTTACCCAATTAAGTCATAAAAAAAGAGATTTTTTTTCCAATTTAAAATTGTTTGTTATTCTTCAACAAAATAAAGAGCTCTGGTAAATTCTCTATGGTACCATGATCTCTAGGCAGCATGTATTTGGCAGCTTAAAGGAACTCTCAATTCAAGAGTTACAATTTACAATTTACAATCACATCTATTTATGAGTTAAAATGAAGAAGTTATCATTGTTTTTCTATCTGAAAATGAATGATATCTCATTAAATATTGACTCGTGGATTAATCAATGGAGCGTGTCACTTGAAATCACATAGACAGCCCTTTAAAATTTTTCATGAACTAACCCAGAACACTGACGCACTTTTAAACAAAAACAATTAGATTTTTAAATCGTAGATTAACTAATTTGATTCTCGTAATTTTAGTCCTTTTTCTAGTCGCATCAAAACTGTTAAATTTTTTAAATTTTATTCCATTAACTCCTATTTGTATAACTTGTTTTTTTTTATGCGTAAAATTGGTATTTTTCCATCAGAATTGATTTATTTTTATTTCGATGAATCAATTTTTATAAACTCTGCATTTATTAACCTGCATGTTGAATTGTTAATTACTGAATAATTATTATTTTTTTTTCATTTATTAACCTCATTGTGATAAAATCGAGTTCGGCATTTACTTAAAAAAATTAATATAATCTTTTTGTTGTACAAATATTTAGATAAAAGTATCATTAACATAATTTTAAATCTCCCTCGGATAAAGTACAAGGCGACTTAAACCCTTTAAACTTTAAACCATACGAATATTGTTTTGCTTCAGAAATGTTTGTTGTCTTAAATGTTAACATCTACAAAAACTTTTTACATAATCTTATTGGACCAATATACCTGTAAATACAAAAATAATTTGACCTAACCCTGAGCTGGGAATTTTTGTATTGGAGAACTGGCTAAGCCTAGTAATTCAGCAGCTTAACTCGATATCCAGTTCACAGTTTAAAGGTGACGAGCTTAAAGTAAATCCGGGAATCTTTAATTCTTAAATCCGCCAAATCATCTCGGAAACAAATTCTGGGAAATGAAAAGGTAGCCAGACCTCCAACTCAAAAATGTTGCTCTCTGGGGGTGGCAGTTGTTATTGTCAATGTTGTGTGCTTTTAGAGTTGAATGTTTAATGGATCAAATTCGAATTAAAACCGGTTAAGCACAAGTCTAGATGTTGACCGTAAACATTGTTTAGAAATATAATAGTACCGTAAATAAATTGCACAATACAATAAACACCTTCCCTTTGTTTAACCCCTTTATTGAGTGTCAACTCTCCTATGTATAATATACAGGGTCAATTTTATAATACACTTGTGGATATCCAGAAGGATAAGGATTTGTTCCCGAATCCTAATCGTATTATCTCGCCCCCCCCCCCTTTTTAATGTTAGAAAGATGATATAATTTCTAGTATATAATTTCCTCATAGAGAAATTAAGAAGTATAACTTTTTCTTCGAATTTCTCTCCCCCTCTCAAAAAAATTTCTTTATAAAAAGATAAAAATTTGTTTCTCCCAAAATTCATTCACTTTCCCAGAAGCAAACTTATAATAAAGATGAGGGGAGAATGGATAATTTTGGAAATTATAGAATCCAATATTTATAAAATAATCTGTATGTGAATGTGAAACAATTTTGATTGTATACTAACCATTGAACCAATAGCCATGAAATATGGGAAAAGAATTGAATCTTAAGTGTCAATCATCTGTACCTATAAATGCTAACTGTACTTAATGTCTCTTCAGAACTTCTTTCTCCCACTGTACAGTGTAAAATAAAACCGGTTTTTTTCTTGCGGATTGCTTGGGACTATTTTTCTAAACACTAATTATTTGAAGCGATAATCATGTAGAGCTATAGCTCTAGTTTCTATCTGATCGAATTTTATAGTTTTCTCTTTT